AATTACGCCAACTCGTCGTGGATAGCAAAATTATGACAATGAAAGAAGTGGCAAACGCACCTAGGACCAATCTATCCCAAATATCAAGGTGTTTTTTATAATTAAGTTATTCTTTCCCTCTTTCTTTCACGGCGTACGCCAAAAGATAAGACAACAATTAGGAAGAAAAGGGAAAAGACCTACAGTATACACAATAATTCAGTAAAAATGCTCTTCATTTTCCCAACATTCTCGAGAGACTTCAATTGAAGCACACTCATATAAGTTCAAACGTATTCAAGTTCAAGTTCAGTTTATTTCACATCCAATAAAATAACTTACAGCAATATAACATTCAAATACAATAATATAAAATGCAATATATATCAAATATGATAAGAACAAATACAACAACAACAGTAACACTAACGATAATTAATGGGTGAAGTAGGGGTTTGAGGGACCAGAAAAGTATTCGAAATTCAATGATCGAGAATATCTGTGTTAAAGCAGGGCTGTCAACTTTGGGGGAACTGCTTCGAGGGAGATCGTATGCAAACAATTTTTTGATCAACGGGAGCTGGGGGGGGGGGGTTGAGTTTAATTTAAAACAAAAACAAACAAACTGGTTTTTTTTTAGTGCTCACTACCCTCCCCCCCCCCCTTTTTTTTTTGAAGCGCAATTTTTGTTTAGGGCTTCAGTATGACACCATATCACAGACACTGATAACAAATAGGGTCATGCATCTCAGTTTAACATTGTTAATCGATGCCTTTAAAGGGGCTATGTCCCTTTTGCAGCCAACCTCAAATGCCGTAGAACTTTGCAGGAATTATGAATATGCCATGTATGTCCTATCTGTGAAATTTAAACGTTAGCAGTGTCCTCACATTCAAATTATGCAAGGAAAACTGTTTACTTGCTAGACTTCACTGTCAGACACTATCGAGTGACTGACTGGCTTTTTTTCTTCTTTGATAATAACATACATAAAAGGAGTTGTAAAGGGTACATGAGTATTTGTCTACATCAGTAACCCACTTCTTGTGATGGCCAAGATTAAACTGATTGAATCTTTGTGCAGCATATAAACGTATGACCATTGTCTGAAAATCAAGACTATTACTTTTGGGCTCTATAGCCCTAAAGTCGATTTGACAACTAATAGTCTTTATTTTCCCACTTGAAGACATTTTCAAGCCCCACCTTTTTTAGGGAAGTTCTAAATTAGTATTAATTATCTTTCAATATGCAGTTGGAACTTGATTTAACCTTTTCATTTTTTTGGCCTGCAAATGGGACATAGTCCCTTTAAGATGTAAACAATTAAGACACGAACAAAACAAAAAAAACTGAATGATATAATGTTCAGAGACTAACGCATATCTGACAAATTACACATTATGATAATTGACAGAGGAAGGTGGAGGAGATCATCATATTCAAAATGATATAACTAACTGTATGCCAAGTCTATTGATGGCGCTATACACACTCGACCTCAATGCAACGAAGAGATCACATCGAGTTCCGGCAAAACCCCACTAGGACATCACCTCAATAATAATTCACCATGATATGTGCTGAAAGATTATAATTAATAGGGGGATTTTATAATTAATAGGGGGATTAGTGTCCCCCTAAACATACCAGTGAAATATAGCCAACTTGAAGATAGAGCAATAGCAAAGAGAAAACATATTGTTCAGCGATAATCGAATGAAGACGTCCATTAAAATTAAATTTACATGATGGAATGTATCTATATAGGCCTATAACTATTTTCGTGATTATATTTTACCTAACAAATGAACAAAAACTGTATAAAATAATGAAATAATCCTTTTCCCTTTGCCTATACATGATACATGTTCTTCTTGGCTCTCTACTTTATAGATATTCAAATTGTATTATATAACCATAGAAGGAAAATATTTGAGAAACGTTCAATCAAACACAACGTCGGAAAACCGAGTACAGGCAAATACTCACCAAACAGCGAATGACGCACAGGAAATTTAGTGCCCTCATTGTTTAGTGCGTTCCAGTGTGTACAAAAGGCATGGGAAAAGCCAACCTTAGACAGTGATTTAACTTTGCAAGATCCCCCCATGTTTATTGTACACACTGCCTCGCATTGAACATTGAGGGCCCTATGCCTTGTTTTACAACTACGTTTTTCTCCGAGCGATTTACATTTCATCCTTGATGCTGATGTGTAGAAGTTGAAAAAAATTGATTAAAACAAATTCAATTTGATCTAATTCCGATAGAAGCATGGACAGATACAGATCGGAAATACATAACAGATGCAAATCATTATACATAGAATCTATAAAAGACCGAGGTGGTCTTGTCAATATAGTCCCATTATGAAACACAGTAGAAAGCGCTCGAATGCAAGAGGAGAGTATAATCAAACAGTTAGTGACATGAATAAATTATGCAAGAAGAAAAAAACACGCACAAAAAAAGACACGAACATTCAAGTATTAAAAGATGTAATAAGACATAGAATGATATATACAACAACAACAAAAAAGGCCAGGCAACCCTGAACAAAGTTTTGAAAGAAACAATAAAAGCGTTTGGTAGATAATGCCATATAACTGTTGATTTGTGTCTTAAAAGTGAAAGTGACAAAAGTCTTATCAAAAGCCCATAAATTATATTTTTTACACTTCTGGTATAGTAGTAAAATGATGTACCACAGTTAGGAAATTGCATAGACTTCGAGGTATTAATGTCATTTTTATCTTTAAAGAGCAATATTGCACAGAAATAATAATGCAGTTGAAATATTTTTTAAAAATTTCAGTTCTTGAAATAATGGTTTAGATTGCGCAAAGTAGTTCACTTGGTATATTCTTACTACTTTTTAAAAAGTAAATATATAGGGCATAATGGTTACATGAATATTTCCGTATACAAGCTTATAATAGTTTAATCGTGGTAAAACAAGTGTACTATTATACAATGCAATAATGATGTTTTGGGGTGAAAAAGGACGTACTCTTCCGATGATACCAATATTCCGAGAAAAAGTTTTGGTTACGTGTAATTGATACATTTTCCAAGATATATTTTCATTAATAAGCACACCCCAACATAGTGTAAAATTTATGGGTTTTATAATTTTCCCATTGATTTTTAGAGTTGAATTCCTGGATGAGTTTGATTTGACCTCTCAGTATTTAAACACAGTCTATTGCTCCTAAACCAACATGGCCTTTTACAACTCATTATTCAGATTTCTATTCAGTACTTCGTATTAGATGAAAAGAGAATGTTGGTATAATTAGCCAATAATTTTTGTCTTCAGTTGGTTTGAACAATGTGGTTAATCAAAAACATATAATAATTTCCCAGGTAAGTCTAAGGTAATCCATGGTCCTTAATTTTTGGCTTCTCTGTGATTTTCTTTATCTATATTTGAATATGTCAAATATATTTTATATTTTGATAAAAAAAACAAATAGTATGCACATCAATAATTAAAAACAAAAGTAATAGGCTTGATCTGTGTCAGGGCAATGTATAGCCTCACTCCAGACGTGTCATTAAAAGTTGAACAAGGAGTTCTACTCTGGAACGTGCCAAGTGCAATAAATTATCACCAAAGCTACTGTGGGAGCTATAATGCATTCCGAACATTGTGTTAGTCCATGCCAAGAGAAATATATACAACAAAATTGAAATTCTAGTGACATTAGCGCCTTCAGGGACCCGTTTCAAAAAACCTTTTTTCAGTGACAAATGACAAAAATCAGTAACAAATCTGCTGATAAGTTGATAACCAATCAGAAGCAAGGATTTCAGTAGCTTAAACAAAAACTGTCATTTGGCACTGATGATAAGTTTTGTGAAATGGGGCCCAGTTCTTTTTTAAGGACCTTTCCCCGACTTCGTTATTGGTGTTTCAACTGATGTTGGCTGCTCCTCATCCGACGATTCTGGAGTGCGGTAACTAAGACCATGAGAAGAGCAGCGAAGAAATAGAGCCCTGCTGATGTCATGAACGTTAGGCGATAATTTCCGGTCAAATCACGGAGTAGCCCTAGAAATGAGCGGTAAAAAATATATGTTTGTTTGGTATATAATTTGATCCATGTCATAAAATTTTATATATAAAGTATAGGCTTCCAAACTTATTTCTGTAAAGAGATTTTGCCGGTTTAAAGTCACTCTAGAGTAACATAAAAGCAACTTGTGAGTAGACTACTCGACGAACCCGTACTCGACCGCATATAATAAAGGATTCGCACGGAACTCAAGTCGGATTTAGGTTTCGTGTGCGCTGTTTTCCAAAATGTAATTCTTAATTTCTTCATATTTCATCCCTTAGTCCTTAGAATGCCGGTGATTTATTTTAAGGCTGAGTTTGTACATTCAAGCTGTACAAGCATGTTTTGTTTTTTTTGGGGGGGGGGGGGATTGGTGCATTAAAAAATAACTACTAATGATCACAGTATCATCAACTTCCGTTTCATCTCCTTTCTAGATGTCCAACTTACCTCCGAACACCCCTCCAACCGGCCCAGCTAACCCCTCTACGATCATGAAGATGGACAAGGTCTTGACGTCAACTCCAGGATCAACGATCTGGCGATGGATGACGTACGGAAGGGCGTTGACCAACCCCGAGCCTACCCCGAAGAACAAGATGGCGGTTACACGAACACCAAATTGTGGCGATAGGTATACCACTGAAAATAGATGATGCAATGGGAAGCAATTTACATTCAGTCGATAATTGGGAGAAGACCGTTTAGAACCATTAAAATTCAGAATTGAAATGACACAAGACAATCACAGACATTTACAATTCAGTTAAAATGATGGAGGTCATATGAAATACAAAATACTACTAACTGTAATTGTCGGATCCTAAAACAAACTATGCAAAATATGAAAGAGTAACGTGAATAGCGCAGCAATAGGGGACATTACTACAAGTTTTGACGTCAAAATGTATACTGTATCCGATGAGCTTGGGAATAATTGGATTTCCAAAGGCAATTTAAATGAAAGAACCTCACTCCAAAGAAAACAAGATAAAATAACAACAACAAACAACGTAAAAGGAAACAAAAGAAAGTACACTGACCTAATATTGATACGGTCAGCGTGAACTCAGTAAGGGTCATAAGATTCGCTGAGGATATGATACCCTTCGAAATGAACATTCCACATGTGAGCCTACCCACCAGATTGGAAGCAGCGAAAACGGACAAGCAAGTGGCGATGTCTTGTGAACCTACACCGGATTCTTTCAACGAGGGCGTGATGTGTATCATGAAGATACTGAGAGCTGTGGTTAAGAAGAACACTGAGAGCGTGTAGATGATGAAGGTGTGGTAGTTCTGGGATATGAAGTACCGGTGATACCTCTGTAATGGTCCACATCCCTCTCCTGACACCACTATAATACTGTCCTCGTCGTGTTTGAGGGCAGCAGTTTCTTGAAGTGGCGTCTGGCCTTTGCCGCTCAAACCATGTCGTGGCGAAGATATCGACAAAGGCCGGTGTTCAGAATTCCCAGTCTTAGGTAACATAGGGTTGTTCTCGTCCTTTATCATTGACTCATCAACAGCATTAGCACTTAGACAGTGGGAAAATTGAACGCCATCGTGAGATGTGTTCTCCTGGTCCGGAAGATACCTTTGGTCGTTAGTGTCAACAGATATCTCTTCTTCTACAGTAAGGGATGCTTCATGACATTGAAAGAGCCCTGTTTGGCTCTTTGCACTCTGCATCATTTTCGATCCGTTAGCATTTTCATGGTGCTGGCTTTCAACATGTGAATCCATGTGCAAAGAAGTCGATGTGCCCCTGTCTCCTTCTTGGTGTTTGTCTGGGGTGTCGACTGCTTGGCCATGACAAGTTTGCCCGTCTTCTGTCGCTGGATTCCTTATCGTTTGCCTTGACTTCATCAGTAGACCCATGACCACAGTGTTAAGCATACATCCTGAGAGTATGAGACATGCTCCTCGCCAACCGTAGACATCACGCAGCGCCTCGAGGATTGGCGGGAAGAGGAACAGAAAACAGCTGTAACCGGATATATTGATACCGTTTGCCAGGGCGTAGTGTTTCTGGAAGGTCCTTCGTGTCAGCAGCATGGTAGAGGCATAAAGAACCGCCTTCGAAGATGCTGTGAGGAGATAAGCAGAAAGATGAAATACGAAACACTGGTAAATCATAGTCTAAAACAAATGTAATTTGATTTTAATTAAAGAGGGACGTCCTAGTTGAGGACTGAAGGATGCCAAAGCGAATGGTTGACGACACCAAGGTTTGGACTTGGAAATCCGTCTTTAAACCTCCTGTCGACTAGCATGACTAAACTTGAAACTTAATACATCAACGGCTCTTTTGTTAAACGAATTCCTAAAGATGTGTCCGGCGCGTTGATCTTCTAACAACGGCTACGGATCAGTTTGTTGACCGAAAATCGTGAGACCTTCTGTAGTTCGAACTTCTGACAACTGATTGGAGGGTTTACGAGACTAGCAGCCCACGAGACCTTCTGGCAACTTATATTAATTCAAAAACACATTTTTTATCCATCTAAAGGGTTATCGAGAATGACTACTTGTAAGACCGACACAACGGTATCATGGATCTTAGTTCTTACTCAACTGAAAAGTACCCTCTTAAAGATGCTATGTCCCTTTTTGCAGCCAGCATCAAATTCTGTAGAATTTTGCATGAATTATAAATATGTCATGTTTGTCCTATCTGTGAAATTTAAACGTTGGCAGTGTACTAATATTTGAATTATGCAAGGAAACTCGTTTACTTGCTAGACTTCACTGTCAGACACGATTGAGTGACTGAATGACTTTTTTCTTCTTTGGTAATAGCATAAATAAAATGAGCTGTAAAGGGTACATGAGGATTTGTCTACATCAATAACCCACTTCTTGTAATGGCCAAAATTAAACTGATTGAATCTTTGCGCAGCATAAAGCGTACGACCATTCGGTACAATGGTCTGAAAATCAAGACTATTACTTACTGGCTCTATAGCTCTTAAGTCGATTCGACAACTAATAGTCGTTATTTTCCCACTTAAAGCCTTTTTCAAGCCTTCTTTTTTGTAGGGAAGTTCTAAATTAGTATTATCTTTCATATGCCAATGGAATTTTCATTTTTGGGGCCTGCAAATAGCACATAGTACCCTTTAAACCATGTGGGAAGATTACGCAAAATATTCCTAGGTGTAGTGGAAAGGGGGCCCGGACCCCCTCCCCTGGCCCCAAAAAAAGTTTGTTGTTGTTTCTCAAAGGGAGGGGGGTGTTGAGTAACAACAAAAAAGGAGCTCAACCCCTCCCCTCCCCCTTCTGCTTTTTCGGCCAGTCGATTTAGTCGCCGCTACATAATTTTTCATGGATTGGGGCCCCCTCCCTCGCCGGCGGCTGGATCAACCCCTGTATCATACCTACCTGTCACTACTCCTATTCCAAACAACACCAGCCCGATGTGTTTGGCCCGTGACAGCATCAGCACCCCAGAAGCAGCGAACGTACCGGCCGCCATCACCACTGGTCTTGTTCCGAATTTCGAAGTCAGGTATGCCGCAACCGGAGCTACAAAAGCAAAGGTTCTGCAGTGTCTAAGAAGGATTATTTTAATCATCGTTTTGAAACATGCAAATGTTTACGCTTAGGTTGACTGAACAAATGGAACATCTATAATTTACTATTTACTATATTTTTTATTTATTATTGTCACCATACCTTTTGAAAGATTCCTTTTGGAATATGAAATGCATAGTTGTTCAAATTACTATTTGAAATTATCTGTCCAGACACCCAACATGTGTATATAATGATTCGAGTGTACGGTACTTACTCAAAATACCGACCAGTAGGTAATCGATGGAAAACAGCCAACCCATTAGAGTACTGTTACTGTCGAACGTGACCATGATGTCGGGTATGAAGACGACGATGGACCTGTAGCATCCGATGGTGAAACCGTTGGCGAAGAAGCAGTAGACGATCAGCCACCAGGGCGAGCTGCAGCGCGGCGATCTTTGGCATGACGAAAGACGAGAACCTGATCGCCTACGTGCTTCAGACCACCGCGAGACAGTGGACCCGCTGAGAGACCTTGCAGGGAGAGCTGCCATGGTGTTTACTTGTTGGACCTATTAGATATTAATGAATACATATATCTGATTGTTTTGCACTTTTATAACCTTCGCTCAATCACGTCTTTGACCTTATAGGAAGTTATAGTCTGATTAGGTCTGACCATATCTTTGTTAAACATGACCTTTGGCCTAGGATCGGGCTTAACTGAACTAATAAACTACGGATCTTAGAATTTATTTGGCATCATAAAAAGATTATAAATCATAAATACAAAATAAATCATTAGTGGCCTGCCAGTGTCATAAATATGGTATTTAAATAGGCTCATCTGACCGTAATTAAATGCACTAAAACCCCTGAGCCCCTAAGGCGGGCCCCTAAATGTTCATCTTACCATAATAAAATGCCTAAAACCCCTGAGCTTCAAGGGGCTTAGCCCCCCCCCCCCGGACCCCATGCCAATTAGTGACCTGCCAGTGTCACAAATAAGGTATCAAAATATGCTCATCTAACCGTAATTAAATGCCTTAAACACCTGAGCTTCCGGGGCTCCGTCCCTTGACCCCCGCCGGGCAAAGCCACTGGACCTAACGCCAATTTACGCTCCACTCGCTTCGCTCGCTATGCTTTACCTGATCTTTAATACTCCACTTTAAAAATCGCTCCGCGGGGCCTGCATGTAAGTAGTGGCGATGCAAATTTTTCTTCTCCCCCCCCCCCCACCCCCCAAAAAACGTTTTTGCTCAATACATCACTGCCCCTGAAAGGTGAACCCCCTGGAATGTTTGCCTCCCCCAATCCCAAACCGCTTCTGGCGCGCCTGCCTACATCCACACACAAACATACAATCATGAGCAATACAAAAAGGAGAGAGTTCAGAATGAGAGAGAGAAGAAAGTGAAAAGGTGAGAGAGAGAAAGAGGAGAAAAGGAAGAGGTGGGAATGAGAATGAAAAGGAAGGGAAGAGGTAGTAATGAAAAGATAAGAAAGGGACTACTCAGTCAAGGACGACATTGGTTAAGAAATGTAACGTTTGGATTTAAGGTTTATTACAAATTGAATTCTATTCATGTACTCCTGTAAAACGGATATAATTCTTTATTATAGTTGTTCAGTTAATGGGAACACAGAGATGATCAAGTGTTCGAGTGTGATACGTATGGAATGAAGAATTAGTTCTAAACATATTATCGAAAAATACTGGGAGAATCCCTTTGTGAAAATTAAATATTGAAACTGATATATTAATAATAATAATAATAATAACACAAATAATAATAATCTTTTAAAGTCCACTTCAAATTTTATTAAACCGAAAATGGAAATTCTTTTTGCCAAATTAAGTTTTACAAGTTCAAACACTTGGAGAATTGTTAATTTAACAAGACGGTAGACTGGAACTACGAAAGTCACTCTTTTTTTATTATTCATATTGCACGTTTTTGTAAGATATAGTTTATCAACATAGATTTATATGTTTTGCCCAATATCTCATCACAATAATTGAGGTTTGGTAAAATAATAGCATTATAGATACTAGACATTATTCTGCTCGGTATAAAATATATCTGAGCTTGGATAAAACACCTAAACTTCTTGAAAGCTTAGAAGATATATTAGCAATGTGATACTTCCAGTCAATCAAAAGAATCATGAATAGGAATGCCTAAGAAAAGTAATGACTCAGTTCTCTCAATAGCAGTATACTCAACTCTTATCGGGTCAACGATGGATTTGTTTTAACTTTTAGAATGGGATAATACATATTTTGTTTACCTAAAATTCAATAGTAGTTTGTCACATCTGAACCAGTCGTTTAGCATTTGTAATTCTTTATTCATTTTAGACAGAAGAGTATACATACTTTTATGAGAATATAAAATAACATTATCATCAGCAAAGAGTGAACATTTTGAGTAGCAGAGTTGATGTCATTGACATATAAGAAACAAAAGGGGGCCTAACACAGAGCCTTGTACAAAAGTTAACCATGGTAATCTTGATTTACTTTATTATATAATCATTATATAATCCTATTTATCCAAGCGTGAACACACAAAAATGATACCAAATCATAATATAATAATTTACTGTTAATAGATGATCTTTAAATAATTAGCAATTTTCTAGGTGTAATTTTTTATTTGACTCACACGGTATGTGACCAAACTCAATTTATTCTGGCATGAATGTTCAGCCCACACACTTTAGCTATTTCTTTTCTTTACTAATATCATTATTATAAAGGCCTTTGACGAGCAACCCCTTTGAGGGAACCTTTTTAAAAATTATAACATTCTTCCTAACTGAGAAGGAAACGAAATGCGAAAACACACACAAAAAATACTTTTCCCAGAACTTAAGGTTGTCTTAAACCAGTTTTTTTGGATATGCATTATGCAAGTACAAAGTAAGCCTATTTATGCGTCATTCAGAATTGTCTCAAAAAATAGGCAACACTCAAAAAGAAACAGACATCCAAGATATTGATGAAAGAATTTTTTAAAAAACGAACTCGAAAAACAAGAGGATTGAGCACGATACAATAATTAACATAACAAAGAATTTATGCTGATTTGTGTTGCAAAATAGGTATAAAAGGGATTGTAAATAATTCTCTTACAGTCTCCTGCTTACCGAACAATAGTCAAAACACTCTCAAATGGTGATACAACAGGCAGCATAATAACATTAAAACAATCCTACATATCAATTGTTGCATGGTAAATATCCTTAAAGGTAATGCAAAGTTTCGGGAAATTTTGAACATTGGATTGCTGGTATTTCTTTGAAATGTTGATATATTTGGATGCCCCTGTGGATGTATCATACGCACTAGAAAGTTTAGCACCTAAAACACTTCTGCTTTCGAGAAATTGAATAATCAAACATTTAACGGTGCTCCCGGTAAATTTCAAATATTTCAAATAGCGCCTAATTAGGCCATTCCATGGTATAGCTGCGATCATGAAAATCTTAGAATATGCAGTTCTGATATATCATTTCCAAAAGGGAATAGCAAATCGGGCGATTGTAGTCAAGAAACATTTGTTTAGGTCAAAGGTAATATCAGCCTTGAGAGAGCGCTATACAACATAAAGAGTGTATTATATATTTACAATTTCATTACTTTAGACTCGATTTCAACCGCGACAACGATCATTGAATATTGTAAAATCGCATAGGCTTCATATATGTTCATTTGGTCCAAATCCATGACCCCTTACCAAAACTTTGTAATACCTTTAATAACAATACAAATAGGAAGCAATTAAAGCTCAAACAGGAAACGTATGCTACATGTGTCAAACTGCTCTGAAATAGAAAGGTTGCAAAATAAGCTTTCCCCCTGACATGCAATGATTGCTTTATAGTGTTCATTATCTGGGACGTACAGTCAGTGGCGAATCCAGGTGAGGGGGGGGGGGGGCCTTGAGAAAAAAAAATCATGTAATAACACGTGATTTTTACCTTTTTCGGGGTTGCCCCCCCCCCCCCCCCCCCCCCGAATTAACGTCGGAGTAACTGTCGTTCGAGGAGCATTTGTCACTGGAGGATTTAATGCTTCATGCGGATCAATAGTTGTCGGCGGAGCAAATGTCGCGGAGCAAATGTCGCGGAGCAATTGTCGGCGGAGCAAATATCGGCGGAGCAATTGTCGTCGGAGCAACTGTCGGCGGAGCAAATGTCGGAGGAGCAATTGTCGGCGGAGCAAATGTCGGCGGAGCATTTGACATCGGAGCAAACGTCGCGGAGCAAATGTCGCAGAGCCATTGTCGCATTTTGCGGAGTAAATATCGGCGGAGCAATAGTCGGCGGAGCATGTGTCATGGATTTGAAATCTTCTGTTGAAGTGTATTGGTATAGATATTATCAAGTAGAGAAGCTCTGTTTTCTGATATACGAGTTGGCGAGTAGGACAACTACCCCCGGACAACCATCATAGTGGGTAGTTGTCAGGGGGTTGTTGTCCGGGGTAGTTGTCCTAGGGGGTACTTGTCTGGGGGTACTTGTCCAGTCCTATAGGGGTAGTTGTCCTAGGGGGTAGTTGTCTGGGGGTAGTTGTCCTGGGGGGGGGGTAGTCGTCCTAAAGGGTGGTTGCCCTAGGGGGTAGTTGTTCTAGGGGTTAGTTGACTGGGGGTGGTTATCCAGGGGTGGATGTTCAGGGGGTAGGTGTCCGGATCCAGTATTAACTGTATGCGTATACGTGTATAACTGTATTGAGAACTTGTTTGGTGTGTTTACATTGAGTTTTAAAAATAACTTTTAAGTAAAACCTCTAATCACCAATGGATTCGGTGTCAAAAGATGGATAATAAAAATATCTTTCATGGAGTTACGTAGTGTGTGAAATATAAATTTTGAGCACAAAAGGTGCTTTTTTCCCTCTAATTTTGGCCAGTATCTCGGTATATTAACTAGACAAAAGTGATTGGACATTTAGTAGTAGAGAAAGTTCAAAGGATTTGGAGTGCTGAAAGCAATTGATAGGTACTTCTTCTATACTCTGTGATGTTTCAGGAAATATGGGCATTGGCAGTTCCCCCCCCCCCCCCCCCCCCCCCCCCCCCCCCCCCCCCCCCCTCCCCCGCCCCACGACACACACTATCATCCATTCTTTGGCACATTTCCATCTCACCGCTTAAAACTTGTCATGGCAAAGACAAATATTTCAACATAATCAGACCGCGTTTATCTATTGGCCGCTGGCAATTGAACAATGGAGTTTTGGACATTGGACATGGCCATGGCTATGCAGTATGATACATTGTGAAAACAACGTGTTCTTTTTTCACCCGTAAAATCCCATTCTCTTTATTACTTGGGTACAATGGCATATATTATAAACTTAGAATATCAAACGAAATATATAATGTAGGAAATACTACAGTAAGATCATGAAGCTAATTTACTTACCTGATCTTGAGATATCAATATGGCCTTTTCGATTGTGTCCACACGTCCGAAGTGGGTGTTCACTCAGGTAGTCGACGACTCACTTCTCTTTTAAACGTTTCGATTTCAGCCAACGCTCGCTCGCCGTCCTAGTGAACTTGACAACGTCATGTGACGCATTCGTCATGCATATCGCGCACGCGCATCACATATTATAAGACGCTACCTGTTCAGCTACCTAGGTACGTCCCAGTGGCGGATCCAGGGTGGGGGCATGGGGGGGGGGTCCGGCCCCTGTTCCTGGCAAAATAAAAGTTTTTAAAAAAGATGATAACGACAATTTTTACCTTTTTTATAAAAAGAAGAAGAAGGGCCCCCTACCCTGGGAAAAAGTATTTTAAAAGATAGTTTTTTACCTCACCTTTTTTTGTTTTATTTTGCTCAAGGCGAGGGGGTGGTGGTGAGTAAAAAGAAATAGTGCTCACTACCCCTGCCCCCCCCCCTTGAACAAAACAATTTTTTTTTTACTGCTCACTACCCCCCCCCCCCCCCCCCCCCCCCCCGCTCATGCGCCTATTAATATTTTCTCACGAGTTGGGTCCCCTCTCTCTCCACCGGCTGGATCCGCCCCTGGTCCATCCTAGGGACATTTTGAAGGGTACAGTAGAGCATTCAGGACGAAGATTTTAGTTGATCGTGGCGGTCCTCGTACAGTGCTCCCGTCCTCATTTAGAAATCATTTCGATTTCCTGGGACGGTGACGCGAAGTCATGTGACCCTTTTCACCCTATTCATATCTTTGTTTGGGGTGGGGGGGATGTCCATATGTATTAGATGGAGGAAAAGCAAAGTGACCTTGTGGATCCGGGAGTATATGACTATCGCAAAATATTGAGAAAAGGCCCTGTTTTTACTCAGGGGATCGCATTTTATTTGGGACCACTTGTAGTACTCTACTCAGTATCGGTAGGGACTTTTAGATTTGCGCGGACTGATACGTGTGACGTCTATTCAAGGCAGTGCATTAAAAGGACGTCGATCGTAAAAAAATCCCCATTGTCTTCGTGCGAATCTAAAAGTCCCTATTGATAAAAGGTCACTTTTTATATTAATATTTTGTTTAACCTCATATCAAGCTAGCTTTCCAGGGTCCGGCCGTCTTACACAGAGTTGATATCAATCGCAACTATGTATATAAGAGATAGGAGACTGCAAACTTGCGATTGATTGGAGGACTTACGATTGATTTGGATTAATCTTTAATCTTTGTAAGACTCGTAGGGGCGAGCAGGGGCTGTCCCCCTACACACGCACGTTTGTCGTCCTCTCAGCAATAGGGACTTTTAGATTTGCGTGGACTGATACGTGTGAGGTGTGACGTCCATTCAAGGCAGTGCATTAAAAGGACGTCGATCGTAGCAATCCACATTGTCGTTGTGCAAATCTAAAAGTCCCTAATAGAGTTCCTGCACGTTCTCACAAACAAAGGGCTACTTAATATGTAAGAATGAGTGGTAAAGAGAGCGAACTAGAACGGGAAGATAAAGGGAGAAGAGAGAGAGGGAGGGAGGGAGAGAGAGAGAGAGAGAGAGAGGGAGAGAAAATGTGAAAAATACTTCAAACATTGAGTATAACAATGCTGAGTATTATTTGTGTACAATCTTATCGAACACAAGCTTTATTCTTTTGTGAGAAAAATATAAAATATTATATATATCAACGACAAAAAATAGCAAAAATATTGATTATGATTAATATTTCACATAAATGTATTTTCTTCATCTTCTAATAATAAAGGAAGTGTTATTACAGTGATATAATCAAGATAATCAATTAATTATTATTTCCGTACAATGCAAGCGATGCAAAGTGGGTTGGGACTATACAGCTTTTCCTCCGAGTGTAGGTTATGAACCGGGAATTGAGTTGGTTTGAAAATGGTTACAAGCCTTAGAAATATTAAAGGGGCTGTAGCATGACGAGACTACGAGTCTTTTCCCGTGGTCTGACGTCTACGGACGACGCGACCGCAGTATTCACGTGCGTGCAACCATGGTGGTCCATGGTGCAACATACGCGAAACCGGAGCGTGAGGAGAACGGTCTGTTTCGCGAACGCTAGCGCGCACTGACCCAGTTCATCAAGTCCACTCGTTTACGTGCAGTTGTCCAAAAGAAGACGTAGATGGCGTCAACCAGTATTTCACATGCTACAGCCCCTTTAAGATACAGCATCTGACAAAACATACGACGTTACCAATTGAGCAAGGAGAACAGCATTGTATAAAATAGACATTTTATAGCTACAGAAACACGTTTACAATATACTTAGATAAGATTTAAAAACAATAAACTATCATAATAATACATAGTATATAAATACAAATTTAACATAGAACATTATATATCAAAGTGGCCTGCAGTAGTCCTACAATCCAAAATATATTTTTTTTATAATTATTAAAGAATATTTCAAATATTCTATTAAATACATACATGATTAGATATATATATAAATAGTTGATTTAAATCTGATTTTGCACTAAATATTCCATCATTTTTATTTCTCTTCACCTCACTGTTATGCACTGTTATTTATATATTTTTTCTATTTATTTGTATTCATGGTATGAAACAAAATATGATTAGCCGCCTATGGCCGAATTGTTTACATTTTACAAGCAAGATTTCAAAATACAAAAATACAATACTAAAAATGGTAAGAATATACAAAACGCTAGATAATACTCCGGATACATAAACTACTGTAGATTAAAAGAAATACAAAAAAACAGAAGTAAATTGCACTTGTTATCAATGAATTTAATATTCCCACCATTTTATCCGTTCCCTTCTTCCCCCCCCCCCCCCCCACTCCCCCCCCCCCTCTCTCTCTCTCTCTCTCTCCCTCCCTCTCTCTCTCTCTATATATATCTTCCTCTCTCTCTCTCTAGTCTGTTGGTTGTTGGCAGATATATCGATAATTTAGTTACAGATATTTGGTTTAATTCAAAGTTCAAAGTATTCTTGATTAGCTTAAAATAGAATATAATCATAATCCACGGTATGAGTATTAAAAAAAAGAGTATAAATATTGCGTAATTACAAGCCATCAAATTGGTTAATGGCATGTACAATTGTACATATTGTATAATAATTTAATCAGCACCAAATAATTGACAAAAATGACGGGATAAACGCCATAAATAATAAGTAAATACTAACAATAAACCGAGGATAATGGAATTTCGCTGGAAGTTTTACTTAAGTAAAATACATGATCAATACATGTTTATTATTTATAGTCTTTGCTCTGAAAATCAACAATCCTCAGGCGCTCATCGAGATTAGGTATTAGTAAACGGGGCAGGAGGGGTTAGTCGTTTCCAAAGGGGGGTTGGGGGTTGGCAGGAGTTATCAAGGGGCATACCCGAATTATAGACTCCGTGCTTGCTGTAGTGATTTGTGTAAGATACTAAACGGGGGGGGGGGGGGTAGTGGGGGTGATTGGCGCACTCTATCTTTACCGTATGATGGGTACGCCACCAAAGAGAGAGAGAGAGAAGGGGGGCTGGTGTTGCCGTACTGGTGTCCTATTTGTCACTCTGCACTGGACAGCACTCACTCAATACCGAATATTCAGTACAAGATATATAGCGCCATCTATCAGCTATGATAAGATTGTTCATTCTCCGTCGCATTTCGTCAAGTTAATCGGAACCCTTGAAAACTAATTTTAAAAAAAAATCAACTCAAGAGTAATTTTCATACCCTAATATACCATATAAATCATGTTCGGCAGTATGTACTACATACGTGTAATCAGGCACGTACGCAGGGGGGGGGGGGTTGAGCCCCCCTTCGACTCTTTTATGTGTATGTTTTTGAGGACCCCCCCCCCCCCCCTTTGTAATTAAAAAAAAAATTGTGGTAATGGGTGACCCAAAAACAAACAAGGCCATTAAAGGTTGAATTTTCAAAAGTAGGTTGTGTTTGAATAAATGTTATGCCTAATCTAAATACTTCACGTAACTAACTTCTTATGCGAACAATTTCTGTAGGAAATTAACGATTTTATATTCACAAAATGACAATTTAGCCTGTATTTTGTTTCTCCATTTTCTTAAATTTTCACTTCAAACTGGAATTGTTTTACGCCATTAACATATCCAATCCAATCCACAAATTTATAAAGTGCCAAATTTTAGTTGCTTACACAAATAGTCATTAACCAGACAAGCCAATTAACTCTCCCTAAAACTTCAAACGTCGGCATCCTTCACAATTTCGCTACTCCTTTTTCGACGCCTCTCCAAAAAGATTACGACGACCATGAGCACTGCAGCGAAGAAGGAAAGCCCGGCCGAAATCATGTATGTCAGTCGATAATTCCCGGTGACATCCCGAAGGAGACCTACAGATAATAATGATGAGAGAAAGTTTGAATAATATGGAGAAGCTAAACCTTTTTTTTTTCCTGCATAAGCTGTAGGAATGAAAGAATGAGTGGTTATCCGTTTAATGTCAACATTATAATGATGTCTAACTCAGGACAATGTTATACAGTTTCGTCAATTTAAGGCCACAAAAGAACCGTCCATACGATAACATAATTAAGCTTGAAGCGATGCAAAAGCATGCTAAAATTCCACACGTATCTGTATTCTAATTTCACATGAAATTTAATATATTTGAAATTTGGTATTTGAACATTCCTGTCTATGTTCGAAATATAAAGGGGAAAGGGGGAATTGCCATAGCGCAGAAGAGAAAGGAAGAACGAGAACAAGACCAAGAACAGGAAGAAGAAGAAGAAGAAGAAAAAGAAGAAAAAGAAAAAGAAGAAGAGGAAGAAGAAAAAGAAGAAGACGAAGACGAAGAAAAAGAAGAAGAGGAAGAAGAAAGGGAAGAAGAAGAAGAAGAAGAAGAAGAAGGAAAAAAGAAGAAGAAGAAGAAGAAGGGAAAAAGAAGAAGAAGAAGGAGAAGAAGGAGAAGGAGAAGAAGAAGAAGAAGAAGAAGAAGAAGAAGAAGAAGAAGATGAAGTAGAAGAAAGAAGAAGAAGAAGAAGAAGAAGAAGAAGAAGTAGAAGAAGAAGAAGAAGAAGAGGAAGATGAAGGAGTTATTCCATACCTCCTAACGAGCCGCCGGCTGGTCCCGCCAAGCCTTCAATAAACATGAAGATGGACAAGGTCTTGACGTCCACTTTGGGGTCCACTATCTCGCGATGAAAGACATAGAACAAAGTGGTGTAGACCCCGGTCCCGATCCCGTACATAGCGGTGGCAGTCGCTCGGAGAGGGAAAAGTTTACACAGATACACCGCTGAAAGTGTTTAAAAAAACATGTTGTTATTGTTTAAGTAAAGCTACGATTACAAATGTTCGTACGAACGATAATCTCGTACGAATCTCCCTGTTTTTCCATTGTCTTCCCGGATTTTCATTGTCTGAAAATCGTTCGTAGCAGTTCGTAATGGCATTTGTGACCGAGGCTTTACATTTACATGTTGAATTCTTGCCTTACAGCTAGCTTCATGAGCAAAATGACCATGATTGGTGTACACGTTCCAATGCATTCCTTTATATTTAAGTATCACTATTAGTAATCAAAAATCCTAAGGCTGATGTGTGCTAGTTTCCAATAACCGAATTCGAGTGAAGAGAGAATGCATGAAATGAAGTAAAGCAAACTTTCTACCTCATCAATTGCCGCATAATTGTACATAATGCTAGGCTGGCTAAAGAAAGACCGAACCGGCCAATCACAAGACAAAATAAAAGTTGTGCTTTGAATTAATTCTATATTCATTTTCACAAACTCATGAACAGCATTACATCCATTGGGTTGGTTCTTGATGGATTTTAAAGGACAAAGATCCCCATTTATTATGAATATATTATTTGGGTGATATTCAAGTGAAATTATACAGTGATTTAACAACACAGTCGCTAGAACTTTCAAAAATTCAATCAAATGCAATTTAAATTGCCTTGTCCATCATCTCTTGAAATGTGCGGACATTACAATGATGTATTACGTACAATAATCGGAACATTATTTATTTGGTGTATACAGCAGGGAATTAAAACCTCTGGAAACATGTTTAAAGTGGTCGAAAAAAGAAGAAGAAAGAAGTCGATTGCATGTCTATGGTCCGGATGAAGATAAGTAATGTAGATTCTTTCCTTTTATTTTCATTAATGAGAACTAGTCTAGTAACACATGGCTGTCACCCTTTATCAAAACGTTTTAGGATTCCTTTACCTGTGATGGACACGAACGCCAGAATTTCAGCCAGGACGATGAGGTAGGCAGGGGGAATGCCTCTGGCGACGAACAAGCCATTGGATAGCCGTCCTATCAGGTTGAATGCAGCAAAGACAGAGAGGCCGGTTGCAACATCCTTCAGACCCACTCCGAACTCCTTGAACGAGGTCGACACGTGGAGCAAGAATATACTGTACCCTACCGTCGTTGAGAACATGGATAGCGTGTAGATGGCGAAGGTGTGGTAATTCCGCGCGACGATTGTGTCCAGGCATCCTGACCTTTGACCTAATCCCACTCCTGACATCGTAATTTTGTCTGTGTTACATTCGGCCGCCTTTGATGGTCGGTCGTCAAGGTCTAGGCTCTTGTGCGAATGATGATCAAGTGCGGACTCAACAGTCGTCGTTGCATCGTTTTTGTTTATCCCATCTGATATTTCTATTTGGTGTGTTTCTGAGGAAGACAGTGTACCGCTCTGTATAACATCGGGGAAATTTACCTTGTGATCTACAGTATTACAATTTTCTGTTGAAGTGCAAAGAGAAGAAGAGTCGATTCTATCGACAGCCCCTTCCTCGGGATTAGCTTGGAGGTTAACAGTGCCATTGTATTCAAGGTCAGTACCAGCGGACGGTTCATGGTTATTCAAAGATATGTAACTCCTCTTTTCCCCGTCACTCTTGCTCCCCTCAACATGTTGTTCACTTGGTTTGACCTCCGCCTCTATCGGCGCATAGCACTCTCGAGTCCTCCTCGGCGGCTTCATCAGAGCGCCCATGAGGACGGTGTTGAACATGAACCCTGATGCGATGAGGCACGTACCACGCCAGCTGAAGGCGATGCTTAAAGCTTCCAGGATGGGCGGAAAGACGAAGAGTCCGCAGCTGTAGCCGGAGATGACTACCCCGTGGGCCAGGGCGTAGTGAAGGCGAAAGTTCCGACGTATCAGCAGAACTGACGAGGCAAAAACAGTAGCCTGCGTAGCAGCTGGAAACAGATAAAAGGGGAGAAAATTGATTTATCTGCCACAGTATAATTTAATTGATATTTTTATGCATAAGGATGATTACCCGCACATATTCCCTTAAGATAACTTACTTCAGATAACCCCTTGAAGAAGAAAAAACTACGCCAAACCACGCGCCAGACAATATCGATCCGTCGCTCGCATCACGAACCGTCCTCTCCGCGCATTTCCTATCAAAGTCAGTTTTGCAGAAAACGCGTTTAAATGATAGGACTTTTTGAAACTGTAATTGTTAGACTTTAGAATAGATTATATTAAAAATCAATGGGACTACTTGAGAGCTTAGGTCTTACAGTTGTATACAGTTTGTTTAGATTTTCTTGAGTTGGAGTATTTTTGCTACAATTGGTTTGTGAACAGAGAGGACGGTTTGTGGAAAAGATAAAAATGCTCGATCACGCTACGCGATTTCACCACGAACCGTCCGCTCTACTTGCGCGCAACCTGACAGTGTTCAAAATGAATGAAAGGCTCTGGTTCTGCGCGCAACAGAGGACGGTTCGTGGTGCAGACAAATCGAGCGGATGCTTTGTGATGATTACGGTATTTCGTAACCAAGAATATTCACGCTCTGAAGTTTTTACAGGATGTAGGTAACCATGAGTTACATGCAAAAAATGAAGAAAAAAATGGAAAATGAAAAAATAGCAAATTTTGCTAGAGAGGACGGTTCGTGGTGAGAGCGATCCTTGAAAACTCCAGTTATCCTCCTCCGGTGTGGGTGGGGGAAGGTATTAATCCTTGAAAACTCCAGTTACCCTCCTCCGGTGTGGGTGGGGGAAGGTATTAAGGAGATTTCGAACTGACTGACGGGGGAATCTTGAAACAGAGTTAAGGGAAATGCGATATAAATTATCGAGTATTTCGTAGCGTAGACTTAAAATTGGAATCCATATTCATTTCAGCTATCAACCATCTCTTTATAAAGATGTTAAAAGACGGGTGCACGGGGGCCCAAGGAAACATCTCGAAAACGTTTGGCGAGTAAATCGCTAACAAAACAGCTTTGCAGGAGGATTTTTTTTAAACCCAAGAGAGGGGAGAGAGAGGGGGTGTCGCGGAGGCGGGGAGGGGTGGCAGTATGATGGCAGTATCGAACAGTCAGTTTGTCTGTTATGATTTGCCCTCACCGTTGTGTAATACAATCATGCAAAATTATTAGTTTTCCAAACTTCCAACGCAACGAAAGATGTGAGAAATTACAATATCTACGTCATTTTGACGAATTATTGGGTCAGTGACAGTGGGAATAATGTTTCTGCTATACATTATTGTGTCCATTAAAGGTAAAGACCAGTTATGGTCATGCGATAGCATTGTGAAAGAAACGTTGTGGAATCGATCAGAAAAGGTTGATCATCTAGCATCTAGCATCTGCAAGGTTCTGGAATCATCAAAATGATAAGAAATTTGGCCCATTCTTCGTAAAGTTACAAGCACTATACACAGAAAGATGTATATGGGACTACCCTATATCTCTCACAGACCATGAGAGAAACAAATTTACCAAATATATGAATTAGTAGGCGGTTTCCCGGCAAATTTTTTATCATCATGTATTAGTCAAAACATATTCTTTCACATGATTGGTAATGAGAGCTTCCATTTCATTTTTTGAAATTGGGGCATTTCCAATACTGGTCTTTACCTTTAACCTTCACTAAGGAAAAGGATGAGGGTGATTACCTGGTGCAGAATCTGAATATAATTCAATATTATATCTGTATATAGCTGTAATAACACTCGGAATTCTTCAGATACCACGATTAAATTTTCGTACTGCATACTTAACCACTTCCACCGGAAAAGGGACGTGAAACCAGCGTGAATTATTGATTTTTTTTTTTCTTCTTCATTTTTATTTTCGAATAGCAAACTTTTTCCTCTATTCATTTCCAAATGTCCCTGGTTACCATGATAAAACCATTTGGATTTGGAAATAGCCTTTTGTTTAAATGAATCAGGTTAATTCGATTTTTTTCTTCTAAAAGTCGGTAACGTTGCTTTCTGAGGAGTGAGGAGCAAAGGAAAGTTGGCAGAGGGAAGGTAAAGGACCGTCAAACAGAAAGTATTGAAAACAAGTTGAATTGAAACACTGAAACAAAGCAATCTTTCATAACAAAACACATAAAAGGCTTCATCGATGTCATACATCAGATAACGAACTGCAAACCGGTCGTTGACATTGAACAATATGACTCTAATCGGCAAAACCAAATAATTGCACCCTCAGAATTATGACGATAAGCAAACGATCAAAAAGGCCGTCATGAAATTCTGTTGCCACAAGCACTTGCTTCTCACCATGACAAAAACATATAATAGGTTTTTAGAAAGGGAGAAGAAAGAATGGTTGAGAGGAAAAGGAGTATGTAAAGAAGATGGTATGATCCCTGGCCGCTTTCGACACTCTTCCCCTCCCCTTTGACCCCGATGGTTCCCTTCCATTCCTTGTATCCACCAATATGACCACCCCCGGCCCCCCTCCCCCTTGACACCAGTGCGCCCCAATGGTTGGACCCACGTAAGCTACGTCACACAAACTTTAACACAAAGGGATTGGACGTTCAACTTTTATTTAGCACACAAACACTAGGAATGAAAAACAAATTTACTTAGAAAATGATTAGGCACTTCTCACGTACTTACAACAAACATTACATTGTTATTTGCACAGATAATGATCGATTTCAATAAAAAAAAACATGAATATCAAATTAGATGATAAAATGCATTGTATAAATAAATTGTAAGTGAATGACCCAATATATAGGAATACGCTCGCTCTATTTGAGGTGGAATAAACTGGAGACACTCCTGCACACAATAATGGTCATACATCATGTATATACAGTCAAACCTGCTTTAGCGACCACCTGTTTATAAAGACCACATGCAGTACGTGCATTCTCCGTAACTTTTACATGTCACATGTAAGTACGTCAAAGTAATACCTCAGTCACACAGACACACAGACAGACTCGACACAGCATCCAAACAAACTGACTCTTTTGCATTTGGGGTAATGATCTAATTGCATTTTGCGGTTGTTGTTGTTGTTTTGTTGATTTTTTTTAAAAATCTGTTGTCGGTCTCGTTGGTGTGACAGGTATTATGGGGGTGGGGGTCGAGTTACATTCTGCCCTTTGACTTGAACTTCACTTTAACATTAATGATGCCCAACAAGAAAATGGCTTTCGCTGCTACTTACATGTCACTACTCCTATTGCAATCCCCGCCAGCGATATGTGGCGTGCCTGGGAGAACAGCATAACCCCAGAAGCAGCGAAAGCCCCGCTGACCATCACGACCGGGCGCGTTCCGAACTTTGAGGTGGAATATGCAACGAATGGAGCTGGTAACAAAATATTAAACAAACAAATAAACAAGGGTGTTATTCAAGTCATAAAAATCAACAAATGCAGGAAGAAATTGTAGCTGTATGACACATGCATCGGTGACAATATTGTTCCATGGTCAATTTTTTCTTCACTCACTGAAAAAAATGATTCAGGAATATTTTGATTTGATTTTTCAAAAATAAAGACTTATTAAAAAAAGTTAGTGCGTATAACAAAAAATGGGGGTTCTTTTATTGAAACCCTCAATTGCCTCCAAACAAATGGCGAAAATGGAGAGAAAGAGATAGAGAAAGAGAGAGGGGGGGGGGGGGGGTTAGCAGGAGAAGGGTGGATATGAACACCTTCCCAACCTTCCCGTCACTAGATAGTACGGCGTTGTTCTCTCGCATTTCATCCATAATTATTCAGACCAGTACCCCTCCCCCTCCTCCTCCTTCTCCCATATACACGCTTCGTCAGTGTACACGGTTATATCCCTCAAAGCTCAGAAACAGAGCAATTTCATGAATATACACAAAAGTCTAGATAAATTCGTTCTATATACACCATAATTTGAATCAGCCAAACCGATAATAAAATCCCTTCGTTTTCTTCATTAACTCTGGGGAGACCATGTACAAGAGACACCCCCCCCCCCCCCCCCCCCCCCCCCCCCCCCCCCCCCCCGCCCCCTCTCCGATCTCATGATAGTCTTACTCGTTCATGAATCATGAGACTTTAAAATTAATGGTATTTTGGATTTGAACAATATGAGGATACTTTTATTATTACAGGAACAATCTCCAAACGTTCATGTGTTATTTCCTGATCGGGCCATTGCATTGAAATGGCCAATTGTTTACGGCTGGAGTTTGAACTTAGTAACTGCATCTGGGAGGGAAGAAAGGGAAACATTAGTGTTGGCCTCTCAAAATGGTTTCCTACCTACTTAAGAATTTGTCTTTCGATATGTTTTCACGCTTCGGTGTATCATGTTTAGAATTCATATTATACGAACAAGCGCATATAGATGATTATGTTATATAGGACTAATTCTCGTCTTCATATTGAACAAATTTTTGAGATTATTTACTGTCCATGCATTTCTTTTTACTTTATTTTCGATTAAGTATCGCAGAGTTTCCTAACTAACAATGATTTTTACTCCTCTGCTCTCCCGTCCTGCCTGATTTGAAAACTATAAACTCCTTAAAAATCAAATAGAGGACTGTCATATTGGCGGAGGTTCTCGAAACTCATACAATAGGTCTTTACTATATAGGTGCTTGCATTCTTGGACAAGGTGTTTTATACACATTTGTCTTTCTCGATCCAGGTGTATTGATTGAATACCTGGCAATTAGGTAGCAATGCTGGGGGCTATAATTGATGCAGGGCCCTCGATAGAGTATAAAGGGCAATAGTCAGGCTACCCTTGGTTACAGGTACTGTATCCCTTTGCAGCCAACACTTGTATAGCCCTTTATTAATATGTCACGTATGTTCTATCTGTGAATAATGTAAACGTGAGCAGTGTTCTAGTATTCAAATTATGCAAAATGTCACGTATGTCGTATCCAGGCGCTTACGCAGGGGGGGGGGGGAGGAGGGTTTGGGGTTAACCCCCCCCCCCCCCTTTTGTTGGTTTTTTTTTTTTTATTAAAAAAAAAAAAAAAAATAATAATAATAATAATGCTAATTGCTGACCTAAAAAAAGTGACCTAACCCCCCCCCCCCCCCCCCATACGGAGCAAAATGTCAAATTTCGAGACCAAAAAAAAAAGTGTCCTCTGACTATAGAACCAGTCGGCCCATGTATTGTTATTTTTAATTAAATAATTAATTAACGGTCACCGTATTTTTTTTTTAAGTGGAGCTGAATTGGTATGATCGTATTGGCTAAATTTCACACATTCTAAACTGGCACTAGAAATTTCATAGATAATTTTAAGAGCAATAACCATGCACTTTGAAGGCATTGGCGGTCTGAAAACAGAACTCAATAAATGATATTATAAACGATCGAGTCTCGAACATGGCCATTATGTATGTTCATTGAAAGGAAGCAATAATATGTCTGAAAGGTTTGCTTCGTAAGGAAACTAGTATTACTATGATATATCAATCGTTCATTACATACCGGGTATGAACTTTGGCGTGTACGTACATCAAATCTGAGTATGATTGCGTGCATCTTATTGTTTACTTCTACAATCCTATCTGTTTCATACGGAAGTAACATCATTGTCAATATTCATGCGCAGGTATACATAATATAGTAATATTTATCGGCATTTTAGTTTCTTGTAAAGCGTCAATATATATTACCTCGTGAATTATTGCTAAATATAGTAGTGCAAACATGCTTAATTTTCTTCATTCAATAATGAAAATAACATGGATGAAATAGTTAAATTAATTTACTCATGACGCCGAGCATGAAAGGGCCAATGGAGAATAGCAAGCCCATCAGCGTAGCACTGCTTTCGAACTCGACAATGAAATCGGGGATGAAGATTGTGATGGACCGAAAGCATCCGTTGGAGAAAAAGATGGCAAAGAAACCATAGACGACCAGCAACCACGACGAGTTGCAGTTGGAGCATCCACGACAGGAAAGATTCGATTTCCGGCTCGTCCGAAATCGGGACAGCCCTTTCGAGGGCGTTTCCGTGGTGTCTTCCATACTTAGCTGATGTGGAGTCCCGTGTGGCGTCTATAATTAGAGTATCCGTATAGCATACGACCATGCAACGATCACAAAATTACACACACGCCACAGAAGAAATGTAGAAAGTACGTCCGAAGGATTCAACGATGATTTTGAAAACCGTCACTATGCCTCGAACAGCTTAATCCGCTTTGTTTGTTGAGGCTTCACTTCGTCGTTGAGCCGAGGTCATCCGAGGTCTGGTGAACTTCACGGTTGAGTGGAGAAAACGCACAGAGAAAACGCACAAACGTGAAAATAATATGTATGTCCCTTTGTAATAAAATGTATTATATACCTCTCTATAGAAATCTAGCCCTGATCTATTTGGTCGAAATTTCAGTCGTGATTTTAGCCATTCTCCCGTAAAGAGACAAACAATGCCAGTAATGGTAAATAGTTTATGAGTGATATTCCCGCAAGATTCCGGGTATCATGAAAATAGTTAAATTTTGCTGCGATCCCCATTCATTATTCCCACAAGATTCCGGGTACCAGGAAATAGTTGCCATCTACATAGGATTACATGTTAAAATTAGTTTGTGCGCAGCGCGCGCGGCAACCATAATTTGTGCGATTAATAATGTAGGCCTAGATCTACATGTAATCACGAGATGACGCCACTTTGAAAATATTATGGAGATTAACCTGCTCTTTCATTTGACATCTCATTTTTTGAGTATCACCTAGGCTACAGGATCACAAGCAATAAAGGTTTGTATCTGTTGTTAACCCCATGTGTCAAGATGTCCTCATCTTCATATTAAAAGAAATTGTTGTTTACTGTCCATGCGTTTCTTTTTACTTTGTTTTCGATTAAGGACCGACAATAATTGTTTCCCCTCTGCTCTCCTGTCCTGCCTGATTTGAAAACTATAAACTCCTTAAAATCAAATAGAGGACTGTCATATTGGCGGTCGAGGCTCTTGGTACTCATACAATAGGTCTTTATTATAGTTGTTTGCATCCTTGGACAAGGTGTTTACTCACATTCCCTCTCGACCCAGGTGAATTGAATGAATACCTGGCAAGGTAACAATGCTGGGGGTTATAATGGATGCAGGGTTCTCGGAAGAGCAACAGTATTGACAATGATCAGGCTACCCTTGGTTAATAAGATAATGACACAATTAATATTAAACGAAAACGGCATTGGTTGTATCACTATGAATATGACGGACAAAGAAAGAGGACAAAATATACAGTTCATCAGGTGGATAAAGGAACATCCCTTCACTTGTAAAAAAAAAAAAAAAAAAAGTGAATATGCATGTGACACCTGTTCTACACATTTTTACATAATAGCAGTGAAGGGATGTTCCTTTGTCTACCTGAGGAACTGTATATTTTGTCCGCTTTCTTTGTCAGTCATGTACATAGTGTATATTCCCCTTTTCCTTTACGCTTCACGCTTTCTGTGTCTTTCGTTGCCCGTATTACTCTCTGAAAAATAGGAGTGGAAATTCACTCTGTTTGGAGTCATATTCAATAGAGATCACTTCATTTGGAGTGAAAATCCTCGCTCAAATAGTATAGAACCCACTCTCAAAAGAGTAATTCAAACCAGTACTTGGAGTGGATTCCACTATTAAAACCCATACTGCTCTTTTTGCAAGCAATGCAACCACTTTTACCCCAGCATTTTCCAGGTACTCGTTTACACATGGGTGGGGAGTGGCACATTGTATTGTGGATTAACGCCTCGCCAAAGACGTTTGTGCCGGGCTCGGCTTCGAACCTTCAACCCTCGGATTGAGAGTCAAATGAATGGACCACTATACCACGACACATACCACTATGATCGATTTTGGAGCGAATTCCACTATTATTTCTGAGTGCATTTAGCTCTGTGCAACTCCATTATAAGTTATTCCTTATTATGTTAATATGACTTCTCAAAGAGTGCATTTCCAATCTTCTGCATATCTCGGTTACATTTTGTTCGTACCATGATGAATCTTATTGTCCGACTAGTATATGCAAAGGTTTACTTACGTGAACAAAATACTCCTGGTATACTTCAAATATTATACACCGGCATCTTAACAAAAGCAAGATAGGCCAACAATTCTTCTTCATATAGGTAGGTTCGCAGTATTATAAACGCAAATACATTTTAGTCATGCACAGTGGATAGCTTTATTCAAATTACATAAACAGTAGAGTGAATGGAAATTGAATTTGAACAGGGAAGATAAACCTGCATGATAGTATAACAGCGTTGTTACTGAAACTCGAAGAGAAGTAATGCAATACAATGGTATATCATGGGTTGAATGACAGGCACAATGGTTAAAGACATGCAGTGTGTGGACACATTGCGAACACAACAACACACACACTCTCTCTCTCTCTCTCTCTCTCTCTCTCTCTACATATTAAGTACATGACATACAGTCATGTATAATTATAATTATATACATATATTATAAAAGTGCGAGAATTCTCAACTCTGACATGACAACGGGTGTTCGAGAACCTGAAGAAGCTAGGCCTCACAAGCCGAAAGCTCGTAATCAAATAGTAAAGTACAGCTACGTCTCACGTTCCTAGACCATATATATATAAATCAAGTGAATGGACCAAATAACATATACATACACACATTATCATAGGGAAAGAATATTAGCATGGCTTGGGCAATGGGCATGCAATCGTGGTGTCACATGTACAGGAATGGTCATCAGCAGAAGGAGAATAAAAGAGAGAGAGAGAGAGAGAGAGAGAGAGAGAGGGAGAGAGAGAGAGAGAGGGGGGAGCCAGAGAGAGAGAGAGAGAGAGAGAGCCAGAGAGAGAGAGAGAGAGCCAGGGAGAGAGAGAGAGAGCAAAATCAAATCGTATAGCCTCTAGGAGACGTGGTTGAAATACAGGAAATTCAACGATAACTTGAATCGAACGTAAACTATACACGAGCTTCGAACATCGCGATTGTGCATGCTCCGTTATTAAAATGGGACAATAATTGTGTTTGTCTGAAAGGCTTGCTTCATGCTTCATAAATCGTTCATTACATACGGGTATTAATAATTGTACGCCTGCATGCACTACATCAAATCTTAGTATGCTTGCGTGCATGTTGTTTACTTCTAGTTCTACATGCCAATCTGTTTCATACGGAATAATAACATCATTGCTAATATTAATGCGCAGCTATAGCTAGGTATATACATAGCAGAGTATATATTAAATATATAATATAAAATTATAATATATTACCTCGCGTAAATTGTTGCTAAATGTATAGTAATGCAATGATTGCAATCATTCAATTAATAGTGAAAAATAGTATGGATGTAATATTTACTCATGACGCCGAGCATGAAAGGGTCAATGGAGAATATCCAGCCCATCAGCGTAGCACTGCTTTCGAACTCGACGATGAAATCGGGCATGAAGATGGTGATGGCCCGAAAGCATCCATTGGTGAAAGCGATGGCGAAGAAGCCATAGACGACCAGCAACCACGACGAGTTGCAGTTGGAGCATCCACGACAAGGAAGATTCGATTTCCGGCTCGTCCGACATCGGGATTGCCCTTTCGAGGGCGTTTCCGTGGTGTCTTCCATATAGCTGATATGGAGGCTATAATATTAGAGTATACATACAGCATACGGTCATTGTGTGAGACAACGATCAAAACAAAACACGCACGCCACCATAGAGGAATTGTAGAAAGTACGTCCGAAGGATTCAACGTTGATTTCTAAAACCGTCTGCTAAATCACAGCCAAGCCCGCTTCGTATGCAGTACGTGCCCACGCACCGCACACATTATTTTTTCGTCGATGAGCGATCCGAGGTCTGCTATTGATGAACTCCTCGGTTGAGTTAGCAACGCAGAGAAAACGCACGCGCGTGAAAATAATGTATGCCCCTCTGCATGCAGTAAAAAATATCATCCGGTGGGGGTGGGGGATGACCTACAAGACCCGCCAATACATCACGCTCTTGCAATCAAGGAAACAAAATGCACATGAGAGCACCATGACAATAAAGCATCGAGTTGCATTGTATACAAAGCATTTGACTTCAAGGCCATTGAATCAAATATGAATGAGCTGTTTTGTTAAGAACAGACCGATTTGTATTGACATATGTATTGGTTGCATCGTGAGAGCAGGGAGGTGAGACTTTAACTCACATGCCCTGGTGAGAGGGTGTTGATAGTAGGCCTGGGGTTAGATCAATGTGACCTATATATCTATGATTATAATATTTCACTTAGCTGCATCTTACATACTTGTGCTTATCAAGTCAAAATAATATGTCGTTCATAATGTCCGAATGGTGCAGATATCTTCCCTCTCGTGCAGTCTGACACGGGTAAAATAGTAGTGAACAAAATAGAGGCGATCCACGTACAAGATCAATGAGGTATATCCCGGCCGCGACTTTGCGTTTTACACCCTGGCCTGGACATTTTCCCGGTAAATAGCAATGAAACTGCTTGAATGAGTCTAGTCTACGCTCCTCGATCGGGCGCGCCAGTTCCAAATCGAATCGTACATGCACAGACGTACGTCGATGCAGCATTTATACACACCGTACGCAGCTGCAATACTGAAGATTAAGGGAGAAGATATAGGATTTCAAGTTCAGAACAACAAGTTAAGAAGCTTGCTGCACGATGGAATTCATCGAGGATGATGACGGAGTGGCAATGCAGACGCCTTTGCGGGTATGAATACTGTAAATCCAGTTTTGAATTGTAGTTATATGAGTACGATTAACTGTAACTGTTAGGCATCCATAGTTAGCAAAACTAAGAGTAAGACTAAGTGAGTCGCTGCACAGTGTCACATTGTCACTGTCACTGTCAGTACTGTCTGTCAGTCAACATTAACAACAGCAATGTCAATTGGACTAGCTAAGCATAAGTAACAATGTAAACAAACATAACGTTAGATCTAACGTTATAAAGTGCGGTGCACGCCTCTGCGCCCATGAATCCGCCTATGTTCAGATCTCTTTTTATCTACATGTGCATGTATTTTCAAATAAAAATTTCTTATAGTCATTTCTTGCATCTAAATCTTAACACACTGTCAAATTATCTGTTCAAATTTCTACTATTGTTTGCTTTCACTTTTACTACATATTTCTTCTTTATATAACTATTTATGCATACACATACTCCTGTATCTTTTGTATTACTTCTCTGACATTGAAGGATTAGATTACCTTCACGAAAAAAAAAAGTATATGAATGTAAAGCAGTAAATAAAGTGCAAATGAATTCATGTAAAACTGGTGTATAATTTCCTTTATATGTTATGTGTCTGTACATTACACTAGACAAAGTGATGAATGGAAAAAGAGAGAAAGAGAGGTCTTATAAACAAATATCATGAATTTAAAATGAGAAAGAGAGAAAGGGAGAGAGAGACAGAGGTCTTAGAAACAAATATGAATTCAAGAAGTGAGAAAGAGAGGGGGTCTTAGAAACAAATATCATGAATTGAGAGCTAGAGAGAGAGAGGTCTTAGAAACAAATATCAAGAAATGAGAAAGAGAGGGGGGGGGGGTCTTAGAAACAAATATGAAGAGAGAGAGAGAGAGGCCTTAGAAACAAATATGACTGAGAGGGGGTTAATGAGAGAGAAAGAAAGAGGGGTCTGAGAAATACATACGAGAGAGAGAGTGGGTCGAGAGAGAGAGGTCTTAGAAAACAAATATGAATGGGGGGGGGGGCGGGGGAGAAATGGGTCTTAGAAAACAAATATGAAGAGAGATGAGGGGGGGGGGGAGGTCTTAGAAAACAAATATGAAGGGAGAGGGGTCAAGAGAATTAGAGAAATTAGGTCTTAGAAACAAATGACATGAATTTAAAAAATGAAAGACGTGATCCCACAATAATAGAAAATGGTACGAGTGCAATATTTAAATCACAGTTTATGTATTACATTACCATTACACATATTATGTCGAGTGTAGTCTGTGTATGTGTCGATATGTGTACACGTGTGTTAGGGGGGGGGGTCCGAATCAGCAAATGGTTTGAAAGTAGGCTACACGTCAAAAATTGAAACCCTGAAGAAGGCGGAATTAAACCACAAAAACCATAATATTATTTGGTTTCTCTCTTTCCTTACTTTGATTAATTCCTTCTCTAATTTCTCTCTTTCTTTCAAGTTAGTTTTTGTTTTCTCTCTCTGCTTATGA